AACTGTGGATAAAGTTGCAATCTAAATGCCAAAGATAGCAGCAAACAGTAAAAATTAACTTGGTGTCAAGAAATTCATCTTATAAGAATGAGACAGGTACTTTGTCACAATGGTCCATTCTCATCATGTTACTGCTTTCTGACTACTTTATCACCTCTATACATAACCCAGTGCTCTTGATCATGCTTTTTTAATACTGCCTCAAACCACGATGACTTTATATGCTTTAACTGTGTGCAATAAAGCTAATATTTTAAAGCTATATTTAGAATAGATCTAAGGAAAATACACAGCACAAATATTCTATAATTGGAAACCTAATTTTCTGATTTAAAAATAAAGATATAATTAAAAGTACATTAGAGTTTTAGGTATGTACTGTTGTGAAGTGGCTTGGCAACACCTCTCCAGACTATAGTTCCCTATAATTTTCTATCATTTTTTAAAAAGTAATAGATACTACTTCCCACAAAAAAGCAAACAAGGGTTTGTGTTAAATGTAGGCATGAATACTTTTTTTTTTTTTTAATGCAAATATCTAGAAATTCTAAAAAAAAAAAAAACCTGTTCACGGTGATGTTGAGGTCATGCTCACAATCTTGTTATTTTATACATATATTTATGCTGCTGTTTACTTTAGAAACTATGCAGTGGAAAAGAAATGGCCTATAAAACCTCTCAGTTCTGCCACTGATTTTGGAAGTATTCCATCTGTGCAAATGAAAGACATTATTACCACAGTTCCTGATGTGTGTATATTATGTATTACAAAGATATACGGAAATACAGTGTTGTACCTAAATTTATAATACATATGGGATCGTCTGTATGTTCATTCCTAGTATATGTAACTGAAATATCAGCTTTGCTCAGCATCTCATCAAACTGAAATAAATAACTTACTTAGGTTCTTCAAATACTGGTTCTTGTGCTGAGCAAACTGTCACAGAGGAAGTAGTTTTGCATGGTTAACAACAGCTTCAAGAGATTTGCAGTTGTGCTCTGAATTCATTCAATTCTACTTAATATCCACCTTCAAAATTATTACTCCCCATTACCTTGAAAATTTTAGTGTGAAGGAAAGTAGTTTGTTCAGTAAGTATGCTTATGTCACACATCCAAACAATTGATGTGTTCAAACAAGTTATTCCATAATAAAAATTGTCATATACATATTAAATGCCACAAGTCAGTCTTTCCCAGTGGTTTCCAGCTGAGCTGTAAAGCTAGAGTGACTTCTCTGAGGTCTGGAGAAATCCCCCGTAGCTGTTAGAGGATGGGCGACACAAAGGCAAAACCAAGACAGTGCCCAAAGACCTTGTACACAAGAAACCCTTGTCACTTGGCCATGGCTCCAAGCCCCAGGAAAACTTAAGAGAAAAAGCAGATTATTCAAATATTACCTGCAGACAAGTATCATTTAGAGTTTCTGTCTTCCCCTGCTTTGCGAGAGGTAGGTGGTCTCTCATTCTTCTGCTTCTCACTGTAGACTCTGGTCTAAAATATTTCCAGCGTTCTGTGTATTTGAATTTAGTAGGTTAATTTTGCCCCTACAGCAATTACTGAAGACAATCACTCAACATCCATATTTGTCATTTCTTAAAATGTCAAGGCCTGAAACTCCTTAAATACTGTGCCAACTGATCTTTGGCCTCTGAAGCCAGTCAGTACTTGGATCTGACAAACCCAAATATTAAGACTTAGTTGTTGTTATCACAGGCAGGAAAGCATTTCCTGTAGGTTATTTCCCTTACAGAGGCCCTCCCTCTGGGTTTTATAGGTGTCTAAAGAATCTGAATTATAGTTATACAGAAGGAATGTTTTAAGCAGTACACATGATTTCACACTTTCTATTTCTTAATAGAGTCAAAACAAGAAAGAGAAGACTAATGCATGTGGATCAGTAAGTACTTTGTTCACATACAGTAAATAGGACTTCATTGCTCTATATGGGAAAATTTAATTGTTTTAGTTGTCATTCTGCTTACTACATCTCTAGCTGTAATATTGACTCAGTAGGTGTGTATCTGCTTCACGTCACTAATCATACCTGCAGATGGATGCTATTAAAATTTCAACTTATGTTAAGTAAGAACAGGGTGCGCAAGATGAGAGATCTTTTGTTGTAGCTTTTAGAACAAAATCTTTGCTGATTACAGAGCAGATGGTCAACTTTCTTGAAACACAAATAAAATACCTAGATAGGTTTGGGCAGATGCTCAATACATTCATGCATAAACAAACATAATCCTCATCCTTCATCTCCTCAACCTGTATTCTAAGTGTAAATGATGTGCAATGTCATATGTAGTGTGTATTGTGCAAATTCAGCCACGATAGCACTTCACTTTCTAGTATCACTACAGTGAAAGAATGATGTCCTTTGATTCTCATACTAATTTGCCAGAAGATAGAAAAAATTTATGTACAGAATTTACTTTCAAAACTTTGCTTTACAGTTTCATCATTATTAGATAGAAAATTTCTTACCCGTAAATATAATATTTTCAAGATAGATAGGTTACTTGTGTTAGAAATAAAATTAGGAACTACATAGCACAGGTTGTCTCTAGCAGTGCTTGCTACTCAAGCACCAAGATGGGTGTCAGTGCATATACAGAGTATAGCTCAGCTATGAAGCTGTTGCTTGTGTTATGCTTATTTCCATTAGAGGGCCACTCATCTTGAGGCTTTCCAGTCTGAGAATGATATTTCCACAGACTTATCTTTATGGATATATTGTATGGAAAGTTAAAACAGAATGCTTCAACATGGACCAGTTTGACAAAAAATCAACTCGGTGAGTGTAAAGTGACAATCAGTATTGCGTAGCATCTATACAACAGTCTGAAAAGCTGACTTTTACTCATTACTGTAAGGCAACACTTGAGATAGACTCTTGGTGTTTAGGGTAACAACAAAAATATTAGTAATATGTGTATTAATTATATATATAAATAAAAATATTAGTAACAATAAAAGTACTCAGAATTGGCTTTTAGAGCATAATGTCATAAAATAGTTAGATGCCAAATATACGTACCTCTTCATATGCCATGTCGTAGACCAAGAACTGTTTGAACTCCTGAGCTTAGGATTTGCATTGGTTTTGTTACAATCAAAATCCTTCTCAAATATGTACAGCTTTGGTGAGCTTTAAAATGGAGAACGTCCATCAGGAATCTTAGATCTGGACAATTTTTTCTTTCTCAAGAAAATTCCCACCCTGATAATGCCAGTCACAGTGGCACTGGAACTTACCTGCAAAACTGGGAATCCTTCTTCAAAAACTCAGTGTGAAACTGTCCGGAAAGAAAACAAAGTTAGTGAGTTGAGTCTGCAATACAGTGTTCAATGTAGAAGAGATTTTTCTATGTATCTGCTCACTACTAACAGATTTCTAAAGATCCTCAAATCCAGATTACTGATAACAATATTGATTTTTTTAACAGATAGAACTCTTTGCAGAGGAGTAGAAAAGAGCAAAGCCCGTGTAAACCACTGCTTATTTACAGGGTCTTTGCTTCAGATATGCTACCGATCTGGATGGATGACACTCTCTCAGTGTTATCAGAAGATTTAATATCAAGAATATGAATTTTCCTGGCATGTGACTTAATATTTTCTGTAAAAACTAGAGCAGAAAATAGAGCAGACAATTAGCAGCTTGATATTCTTCATGGAAAGGAGAAAAAATAATAATCCTGTCCATCTCTAAAGTTTCGTCAGAAGCCATGGCCCCTTTCTCTCAGTGGGACTGGGTAACATTGGGTGCTCAGCAATTCATCTGGTTAAGGCAGAGCTCTTCAGTTATCTGAAAAATGACTTGTGCCGTAGAAATATTTTGAGCTATTCTTTTCACTGCGGGTGACATAGGAATTGTATCTTCAGTCTTTTGGATGAAGTGGCTAATTGCATTCAGTCTTTAAAGTATCAAATGGTCCTGTTCATTGCCAAATGGGAGGCACATATTGCACTCTGAGAGGGCATCCTCTCACGTAAGGCTAGTGACAATAGTATGTTATTGTCCACAAGTCACAGAATGTCAGGGATTGGAAGGGACCTCAAAAGATCATCTAGTCCAATATCCCTGTGGGAGCAGGAACACCTAGATTAGGTCACATAGGAATGCGTCCAAGCAGGGTCTCCAGAGAAGAGGACCCTATACCTTCTTTGGGAAGCCTGTTTCAGTGTTGTGTTACTCTCACAGCAAAGAAATTCTTTTTCAAATTTATGTGGAACCTCCTATGTTCCAGCTTGCAGCCATTGCCCATTGTCCTGTCATTGGATGTCACTAATAAGAATCTGGCTCCATCCTCATGATGGTCACCCTTTCCATATTTATAAACATTAATGAGGTCACCCCTCAAACTCCTCCAAGGTAAAGAGACCAGCTCCCCCAGCCTTTCTTTGGAAGGGAGATGCTCCACTCCCTTAACCATCTTTGTGGCTCTGCTCTGGACTTGCTCCAGCAGTTACCTGTCCCTCTTGAACTGAAGGGCCCAGAACTGGACACAGTATTCCAGATGCAGTCTCACCAGGGCAGAGTAGAAAGGGTGGAGAGGGGGTGGGGAGAACATCTCTCAACCTACTAACCACACCCCTTGCAATACAGACCAGGATGCCATTGGCTTTCATGGCCACAAGGACATGCACAGTTCTGGCTCATGGTCATCCGACTGTCCACCGGGACCCCTAGGACCCTTTCCCCTATGCTGCTCTCCAGTAGGTCAGTCCCCAACCTATACTGCTACCCGAGGTTGTTCTTGTCCAGATACAAGACTCTACACTTGCCTTCTTTGCATTTCATTAAATTTCTCCCTGTTCAACTCTCCAGCCCATCTAGGTCTCGCTGGATGGCAGCACAGCCTTATGGTGAGTCAGCCACTCCTCTCAGTAAACTTGCTGACACTGCACTATGTTCCTTCATCCAAGTTGTTGATGTATATATGGAATAGTAGTGGTCCCAGTACCAACCCTTGAAGGACTTCACTGGATAGAACTCCAACTAGGCTGTCCCACTGACCACAGCTCTCTGGCTTCTTTCCTTCAGCCAGTTCGCAGTTCACCTCACTACCCAATCGTCCAGACCACACTTCCTCAATTTAGCTGCGAGGGTGCTCTGGAAGACGGTGTCAAATGCTTTACTACAATCAAGATAGACCACATCCACTGCTTTGCCATCAACTCATCCACCTGGTTATGCCTTCATAAAAGGCTATCAGGTTGGTCAAGCAAAACTTTCCCTTGGTGAAGCCGTGCTGACTGCCCCCGATGACCCTCTTATCCTTAATATGCCTAGAGACCAAGGACAACTTGTTCCACCACCTTTCCAGAGATGGAAGTGAGGCTGACTGGTCTATAGTTACCTGAGGTCTTCCTTCTTGCCCTTCCTGATGACTGGGGTGACATTTGCGTTCCCCCAGTCCTTAGGCAACCTCTCCTGTTCCCCACAACTTACCAGAGATAATGGAGAGTGTCCTAGCAAAAACTCCCAGGTCCCTCAGCACCCACTGGTGAATCAGAGCAAGGTCTCGCAATACTAGCACTGTGTAAACACAGAAAACAATTATTAAAATAAACTGAACAAAAAAGCCAAAAAAAGAACATTTTTAACTTCTGCCACTTTAAATTCGGTATGTTTTTTTCTGAGCCTTTATCATTAATCTCTAAAATAAAAATACTCCTCAGACCACATAGCTCTCTTTTAATACCCTGTATGATCTTATGAACTTTCAGTGGTCCAGGATCCACAGATGGGGAGCACAGACACTTGGTGAAGGATATGTGTCTGGAACAAACTGCCTACCAAAAGCAAGTAGTCTTTAAAAAGGCAGCTCTTGCAATCTGGCATCTCACAATGGTCTTCTTAATAAAAGCCTTAGGTATCTGCTCTGTTTCTTTCAGTGGAATATAATACAATTGTATTGTTGAAAGACTGATGATATGCTTTATGACGTTCAAATACAGGCTTTAATTTTCTCTCTGTGAACATTTTGCAAGAGGGCAATACCAATCACATTTTATGTTCCGTGGATTTTCAGAAATTCTTGCCATCACAATAAAGAAAAAAAAAATGGCTGCAGAAAGGAACAGACTGATAAACCCTGTCAGAACCACAAGATGGCAATACTGTTTTAAATATAAAGCTTACTGAACCAAGTCAATAGTGTTATGACCATTCATAATATAGAGAATGCACAACACTTTTTGACAACTGCTGTGCAATATGTGATTTTCAAGGAAGATAATCAGAAGTTAACAGCATCCACAAGCTTTGTTTTAATTCTGCTTATAATGAGTACTTTAGAACACGATCTTGTTCAATATCATGTTTGAAACACCAGTGGAACTATGCTGATGGATTTCAACACAAACATCATAAAAGATAAGAATGAACATACTGCAGTGAATGAACACTTTGCACACTTGTTTTCTTCTCTGTGTACTTAGTTTCTGGAGAAGAAAAGTTTGATGCCTTTGAATAGTACCTGACAGCTATTTTTGTTTATTAGCTATCATGTTGATAATTCCAGTCCCTCTCAGGCAACAGAAAGCCAACACAGAAAGTGGATGTAATATTATTTCATCAGTATAAAAGGTGTCACATCAAAAGGCGTCATTCAGAGCAAGCAGATCAAATAATACTGTATACTCCAGTGTAAATGTTGCATTCTCCTTTCTGAGGCACTACATAGCTGTGTTATGAATTACTTAATGCAATTATCTGTTAAAAAAAAGAAAGAAGAATCATTCCAAACCAAGCTGTTTATGCATCAGTAGCTCTGAGAAGGCAGGTGGTGAGCTTTACAAATAAGGACAGTACAGCCAGGCAGAGCTTCACCAAAGGCATATGAGTTCATTGTGAAATGTGCGTAAATACACATGTGCATTCTCATACAATGCTAACAGGAATGCTGGAAAAGTATCAGGAAACTATTCCTGTAACATACCAAATGATAAAGCCTTAAAACAACATTCCATGATTTATCATAAGCCAAATCTTCTGCAGGTCAGGATGCAAAAAAGACTATTGACTCAGTGGAGATCTGAAGGCTCAGAACAGGAAAGCTCTTACCATAATGGAATGTATCTTCCTCTGCAAAGACAGTGTGCCAGACTGCATATATAAATCTTCAAAAAACAGGAGGAAGCACACTAAAGATAATCGTATCTGATACAATGAATTATTTTGAAAGATTACAATGCTGCAACATTACCTAATTCTAAAAAACAGAATCTCTTTGTTGCAGTTATGGTAGCATTGACAGTGTGGGAAGAAAGCATAAATAAATAACAAGGTGACCTGTAGACTAATATGCTCCCAAGTTCAAAAGTATTTTCAAGTATATATTTTAAGATTACATGCCATTAAAATAAAAAATTAATAGAGGCAACAAAAAGCAAGATACTTCATTTCACATTAAATACATCTAGATGACTTGTCACGCTGCCGTACCTTATGAGAGGATGACAGAGAGCTACAGGACCAAAAGACAACTGCTGAGCTATACGTTACCTTTTCTGTGAGCACTGAGTTTGCTGTTCCAAAGCAGAAGTGTGGTCCATCTCGCCTAATATTCTGTCTTTGAAAGTGGGCTGCTTCTACAGAAAGTGCAAGAAAAAGATGTAATCAAGCATTACAAGATAACTTCATATGAGAGAAATTTCTCGGGTAAAACAGTAGCTGATTTATGCCTCTTAAGCATGAGGGTTTCTAGTCTTCTCATTTTTAACCTACCTTAAATATAATGTAGATCATTCCTTCACAGTATTTTCAGGGTGGAGACTCCTTACTACAGCAACACACTCTCTAAGTTTTCAGTTGCTGTTAGAGAGCAACATTGCTTCCACAGAGGCAAGAGGCATGAGTTTTATTTTTGCATTTGAGAAGGCAGAAAACACTTGACCTTCATGAAGACAGGCACGGAAGAATGAAGGGAGACCGTAAAGAAGTTCAGACTGTCTTTGCTTTTCCAAGTCTTCCACGCTCTGGATATCCAAACACACATGGGCTGAAAAATGGATGAGTTTGTGTGTTACTTTGTGCATACTTTTCAGATTACATTAAGCTCAAAGATACTGGAGAAGCTAATAGCTGCCAGATAAGGTCTGCCGCATTTTAAAAAAAATCAGTATTCAGAGAAGTTTTCCAGCAAGGCATGTAGTTATCCAAGACAGATTTCAATATGTATCCACTGCCTAACATAGTAATGTCATTTTGGGAAGAATTACCTTTAGCAAAGACTTTTTCTGGCGACTTTGACATCCCATAATCTGCTCTAGCTACCCTACAGTGAACAAGATGGGCAAATATAAAGAATGACTAACGTATTATGGAGAAAATAAGGATCAAGCCATCCAAAATCTAAATTGAGATTTCTGTTGCACTAAGGTTGGTAGAGGGAGTTGAGGTACTAAAACGTATTGCTGCTTGCAGCTTTATAGCACCACCAGAAAACTAGAACATTAGGACCACAAGACTGATCTAACAGAGAAAATTACACACTTCTGGGTACTGAGATATGGAAGAAGGCTGTTGTGTGCATTCAACAAGCAATAACTACTACTCACAGACTAGTCCTGGAAGTGAAATTCGTTACTTTGTGCTTTCTACCCATAGTTAGCCTACAAAGTAATTAACTCAGAAAAGACCAATGTACTACAATATTATGTCTTCATGTTTAATTTTCAGAACATGTCCTGGCTATCCAAAACTAATACTGATAACACTTGTGAGGACAACCAACAAGCATCACGAGTCTAAGCTATTCACAGTAAGTGCTTTACAGCTGAAATATCTGTTGAATTATGCCTTCTGAACATGTTTCTATAAATTTGTTTACTCCATTCATTATAGCAAAATACGGCTAAACTCATCTACATTTCTACATGTATTTTGTAAAAATTTTTTTTCAGCTTTTTACAAGACTGCATAAGTTCTGCAATTTGTCAAACACTTCTGCCTGCTACTCTGATCTATCTTCTGCTTTTCAAAGATGATGAAGTTTTTGAAATTTTTCACTGCAAAAGAAAAGCAGTCTGGTGCATAAGGCAGTCAAACGTGCTGTTTTGGCTGAGTACAACATACGCGATACACTTCCAAATACAACAGTCCCCTTCCAATGCTTTTATCAATCAAAAGCCATCTCTGTTTAGATTTGCTGGCATTGAAATATTTGGAATATCCTTCCAGCCTATGTCCTTCTGCTCCATAGTATTTAAAACAATTTCAACTGCAGTGGTTTGTTTCCACCCCTCTTCCCTTGATATCTTCCCCCTAATCATAATGATAGAAACTGCTAGAAATGGGAAGAATACATGCTAGAACTTCTAGAACTGCTAGAAAAGGGAAGAATAAATGATAATGATCAGCAACACATTGTGAACTGTTCAGTATCCACTGAATAGACCATATAACTTTAACCTATAAAAAGAAGGCACATACATGAGAATTGTTCTCAGTTTTTACTCCTCTTCCTCCCACATAACCAGAACAAAATCAATCCAGGGAATAAAGAAAGATCCTGTAGGGACTTCAGTACAATGCAGCTTCTCATTTGGCCTTATGTTTATCTTTGGTTCTCTTGTGCTCTTTTTCAGAAAGCTCAGAATCCAGTATAAGAAATGAATTTTCAAAATCCTTCAGTGAAGATTTAAAAAAGAGGTTTAGACAAGGCTCTAACATCAGCAAATTTGATGAAAACGTAAGTAGATAATCAATTATCCATTATCAATTATCAACAGATAAATATCTTGTAATTTGAACATCTTTTCATGGAAAATGACTTAGCAAGCAGAAAATCTAATTATATAAAAGAAAACATTGCATTGTAAATTTATTTTCTCAACATGCTATTGTAGTACTGACCAGAAGAGTAAAAGACAGATGGGTAAGTGAATAAATTTCCCAGCTGTTTGAACATCTAGTACTTACACTGAACAGTCCTGCAAAGAGAAGCCAGCTTCAAAATTATAATGCGCATTTGCAAAATGTATAGTCCAGAGAGCGCTTCAGACAAAGCAATCTAGGGGCTGTTTTTGTGTGTATAGGCTTTCAGCGATATATCTAAGTCTGAAGAATGGAAGATTACATTTATCAGAAAGGTTTTGAAAAGCATGGACACTTTCAAGCTCAATCTTAATGACTGCTCCTAGAAACTTTATGGAAACAGAGAAATCTGCCATAGTGGCTTTACCATTCCTTTTAATAAAACAAAAATTTCATCATTTCAGATTTAGGCTAAGGGAGATAGCTATAAATCTGCTTGGCATGTTTAAAGCATCAAAGAGATCTGATATTAGAGCCCTCTTCCTCTTCGTTCTGTAAAAGAAATGTGTTATCTACTTTTGGAAGAAGTTTAGTTCCAGAAATTCACATTAATCATATAATATTAATTTGTTCATGTTCTTTGTCAAACGAGCTCTCTAAACTCTTTTAGCTTTTGTTAATCATGAACAGAAGAGTCCCCAGATTAGACTTACAAACTATTTTTGATAAAATTTGCATTAACAGAAGAAAGAGAAAGACTATCTATATTAATATGAAAGCTGTTTTCTTTCTCATTTTCCCAAGACTTGGATCTATAGCTGTATGAGTAGTGGAGAAGATATAAAGTGTAAGTATTATGTTGTTTCCCACAGAAAATAGGTTATTGAGAATATTTCAATTATGGAATGGTAGTGTAATATAACTACATTTGTCTGTAATCTCATGCAGAGAAAGCACGAGAAAGTGCTGCTTTCATCATCAAAACAAACTCTCATAAAAATTTTATAAGCCAGCAAAACACAGATGGTTGAAGGCATATGTTAGATCACTGTAGTTTTATTTGCTTAGGAAGACTTTTTCAACTCAAGCTGAAAAGTTTCTCTTAGAACTCCAACTGAACATGGGAAACAAATTGCGTAGCATTTCTCTCTACAAAAGCACTTTCGTCACACGTAAGTACTTGCCCAGCTAAAAATGAGCTTGGAAGTGCTGTATTAAAACCGAAGTATCCATACCTGCTTTATCTACTTTCTTCTGTAGTATACTCCTGTTTCACTAGGCAAGGCCAAAGTACAAATCACTGAAGTCAATTTAAATTAAAACATACCCAACATGTTAGATAAGCATGTAATTGAGAGCCATTAGTTTTAAAGATTTTTCAGCTGTATGTACAAAATTCATTTCTGTGAATGGGTTTTTCACATTAAATGCTATTTCATAAAAAAACAGATGTTTTGAAATACAAAGTTTTTTTTACCATTTATAGCTTCTCCTGCACTTTATTATTCTTATAGATTCACATGTGCAATTTATTCATTAAACTACAAAAATATTAGTCAACTGCTATTTTCTCATCAAGCAGAATATGATTTATGATAGTGTGGGAGAAAAAAAATTTGGAGCCTGTTCCCAGGCCACACAGAATTCAGGCTAAACCAAATAGCCAAATATCATTTTGGGTGCCAAAACTCATCTGCTAAATCCAGGTTTTGACATCTAGACTTAGCCAGCAAGTTGCATGTTGCCGTTTAAAATTTCACAGGGGCCTGTATTTAGAGAAGACCTGATTTTTCATTTCGGTCTTTTGGTCTTCAGGACTTTCCTGTCTCACCTACACTTTGACACCCATTTGCATTATACCGGTAACGTCCCTGAATCATTGCTCCAGCCATGAGTCTTCCTGGACATGGATAAGACACACTACCACTTGTCGCTGTTGCTACCTGTCAACATCAACATGCTCCAGACAAAACCTCGTGCCACTCTGGATAATACCTCAAAGCTATTTTTTTTTTAACCAACCTTTAGTACTTCAGCTTTTTAGCTTATCAGAAATTTCTTCAAGTATTTCATTGCACAGAACGCTATAAAAATAAAAAAAAAACAAAGCAGAGAAATAATGGACCCTAAGTATATCTCTGATTCTGCTACTCCTCAGGTAGACAGCATAGAGATACTTTCAAGGCAAAGTAATAATATGTTCAACCAGTGTTGAAGCTTTCAGGCCTTAATATCTGAACTAGAAATACCACTTGACCATAGAGCTTAGAAAGCTCTAGTAGTGTCTCTGTTCCTGTTTTACATGTGTATATTTGAAGACAAAGACACACACACACACTGCATGAAGTGAAATATGCTATGAAGGACACTGATCCCACTGAGTAGTTGCTGCCCTGCTTTTCACAGCTTTAGAAACTGGAATTTGTATTTTTGACTAACACTCAGAGTTCCAAAAAGAAATGTCTCTACCTTCCCTCCACATCGACTCCTAGAAACCAGACCAGAACAAACTTCATATCCTATCTGATCAGCAAACTTCATATCCTATCTGATCAGCAATTGACACAATCTCATGGCAACAAATTTCCTGAGGTTTTGTTTCTTTCTTTCTTTTTTTTTTTTTTTTTTCAGAGAGTCTATATATTTTTTTCTGAGAGACATACCGATATGTCTGGGAATGATACATTGCATTAGTATTAATAAGTCTGCAACAAGACTGAACATTTCCTGTCATTGCAAGTATTGCAAAATCTGGTCGTATGCAAAAAGCAGTGTTGCAAAATCTTATAGAAAATTGAAGATCACAAGGTGGCCAAAATTTCCTACCAGGGCACATTACTGGACAGATCTTAAAATCTTCTACCTCCAATGTGCTAAAAGCAGTGTAAATGTAACCCGCAGGAAGGTTCAAAATGATAACATCTTTCCTTCTTATTTACCTTGGTATTTCCGTGTAGCCCTGATCCAGACCCTTTAACTGGGTTATTATGAAGAACTCAGCAATAGCGCTGCCTCAATTTTTGCAGACAATATATATTTACTAGAAATTTATTCTTCTCACTTTAGCATGAAATGCCCTAGAAATGTGTTTTTCAGCTCAACACCACACTGCCCACATACTCCCAGAGTGCAAAGTGCTGTGCTGGTACTGATGCTGTCATCTTTTCTTACCTACTCTTTCTTTATAAGGACAAGACAAATATTACTCAATATCTCAAATTTGTTTAACAAGCTGAAAGCTGAGTGTTTGTTTCCACACACAACATTAAGCGTTGAATATAGTCTTAAGCCTTAATATAGCTTAAAATAGCTTAAGCCTTATGCTACTGGTTATAATTGGGTAAGATTAGAACAAGGTAGCTAATGATATAATTATAAACAAGCGTTTGTGAATGAATTTTCTTCAGATGAAGTTTGCAGTTATTCTGCACTTGTTTCTATCTGAGAGTTGCTTGATGCTCTTTCCTATTACTTGTGCAGAATGCCCATCTCAGTGCTCTAAACTGAAATTTGTGGATGATCACCTCATGGGGGAGTGAATGGGGAAAAAAAACAACACCCACAACAAAGCTGCTCACAGGTAAACAAAACAACATGAACTGGAGATCACAATAAAGATGAAACAATTTTTAAAAATGCAAAAATATGTAAAGCTGTAAAATGACATTCATTTTACACTGAAAATGGAGAAAGAAAAGTCAAAGGTAAAAAAGTCTTGAAATGTGGATAGTTTTTACTTTAATATTTAACTGTCACTTTAGATGAGTGCCCACAGAGCTCCCTGGCCCTTTACAGATAGAGATAATTAAAATTAATGCAGTAGATCTACTGACAAACATTTAAAAAAAAAAAGTCATTAGAATGCTTCACTTATAAATAAGACATCATATTGTGTATTTACTTAAAAGAAATTTTAAAAATAGTAGAAAATCCACATATTTTATATAACTAATTGACTAATGCCCAAATTGTTATGCTCCTTAATTATCGCAGCCACAGAACAGCATAGATCAATACTGTGTTGATTTCCTCTACTCAGGAAGTAGGTCACAAACTGATTTACCATTCTGGGAAAGAATTTGCATGGCAGACATTTTGATTCATCTATTATTTCTGTTGTGTGGAAAGCACATGAAAATCCTGCTTGCATCATCAGTACAGCATCTGAACTCTGATGTACTTTAGCAGCTTGAAATGAATGAGCAATTCATAAGCTAAGTTCGCTTGGTATTTAATGCACTGGTGAATGTTGTCCCCTATAGGTTATGCATCACGTATGATAAGCAAAGTGAGAATTTTGCAACCTACAAAATAGTTTCCTTATGTTAGGGATGGTCTGGGTTACTGATGAGTTCCTTAAACACTGCATAATTATCTGTAGCAAAAGATGAAATAACTTCTGTCTTCCTAACCTCCAAAATCACCATTATTATGACAGAAGAAGCAGGATTACTACCTGACACAGGAGCAGTTCTGAAAAAAATAAATCTCTGCTTAAAATACCACACCTGCTCAAAACACCAATAGCACCAAATGCACTTCTGTTTCAGCTACTTAGCTTGAAAGAGAATCTTTCATCCCACTATTTGAGAGCTAAAAAAATCGTTACCAGCAACAATAAAGTTGCTAATGGTATCTGGATACTCAGCACATTAGAAGATACGAAGATAAATGGCACAATTTGCTAAGCTATATAAAAGTTAGCATAGTGCATCTTAAAAATCTCCCCAAAATTCAGGAATAACATTTATGTTTTTTATATATTAGAATACTTTTAGATATCCAGAAATAATTTTGATACTGAAACTTGTATCGTGGTTGCTGAAGACCTAGCAGTAGTCAAGTTTTTAAACAAACCTTGACCTTTAATAACTTAAAAAGTTTAAGTTTAAAAATTCCATTGCAAAATCAGCGTAAGAATACAATTTCATCTATAAGCAGAAAGTTACAGTATATATATTCTGCTGGAGACTTAATGCTTACAGAGACATTTTCCCCCCCCAAAATGGAGTTTAACTTACAAATTAATTGTGAAAAAATTGCAAAGACTTTAACAGAAAGCAAGTCTTTCTGTTATTAATATATTACTTTAAGTCACATAATTTTCAAAATATTTTTTCTAAAAATTGAAATAGAACAAAAGCTTTACTTTTTTTTCATTCTGAAACACAAAAAATATCTCATTTACCAGTACATCTCTTGTTCTTCACTGTATCATTCATTTGATCTTCAAAAAAAACCTATGCAGCTGGTGTACAATCTAAATTATTTTCAACAACCAAAACAACATTCCAGGATTTAAGTGAATATACCTTAAGAAAAACATAGAAGCTACTCTTACCTTTTGTCCTCCACATATACATTAGCTTCCAGAGTGCTGTGAACTTCTGGATTCCCTTTGGATAGGCTGGAATATTTCTTGCAAGGCTCATATTTGCAAATTTACATACATATATATATATATATTCTTCATGAATTGGTTATACACTTTAAGATATTTGTAAACTGAACAGAAAGTTTTGAGAGCCCCACTAATGTAGATTACTTTGAATCAGATCCAAATTCTTTCAGAACAGGTATGAATATCCACAGTGATGTTGGGCATCTAGCAGAACAGGGTTATCCTAGATGAAAGGTACTGGCTCAGTCTAAAACACCCACTGCACTGGCAAACTACCTGCAAGACTTTGAAATCATTATGGTTGTCATATAGCTAAAAACTTTCACTGAGCCAATCTCAACTTGAAGAGACAAAAATTTCTGTTTTATCACTTCTGCTAGTAAAAATTTCTCATTTGCCTAGCTTACAGGCATGTGAAAATGAAAAACAAAAAAAGAGTTTTTGACCTAAACGACTTCATCACCATCTCATGTGACAGTCAGCTCCTAGATAATACTCGCAGTTTCTTGATTTTTTCCTCTGCCTTCTTAGAAGTCACTTTAATATCTTTATTGTTTCAAATTCAGACAGTGAAAGTCAATATTTCTCTCTTTACTTGCCATGTCTTCAGTAGGAATGTGTATAGGATAACCACAGCTGGCAAAACACCTGCTGATTTTATGTCCTGTGTCAACTTGAGAAAACATCACAAACTTTCAGACAGACCTTGCTTTCTTTTTTTTCACTGCTTTGTTGATGCCCAGGCTTTCCAGTCTAATGTAAATACTCTTAAAAAGATTTATCATTAGAAGCTATAACTGAAAATATAAAATTAAAATTTGCATAAATTTTTAGTCTTAGGTATTTCCAGAGATCAACAATCTAAGGCATAGAGTTTGAACAATAAAACATGCATTTGTTTACTTATCCAGTGACATCCAGCATAGTCACGATAAATTTACCATATATACTCAAAATTATTGACATGTTTTTCAGTGAAAAATACTATATAATGGATCAATGTGATCAATGCAGCATTTCTTTCAGATAATTAACTGCCAAGAAGAATCCTTCACCACAGCAGCCAACTCCTTGTAAGAAGATAGCATTCCAGATGAATATTTGGAAGGACAGTGCAGTACAGTCATCGACAATCTCATCTTTTGGTAAGCCTTCTCTATGAATATGTGTTTTTCTCGTGATGTTTCTTAAAGGAATAACTGATTCCAAAACAAAACAAGAGCACATTAACTTCACATTGACTTTTCCATACTCTTTCAACACATTAGCTTGTTGTAATTTTCATGTCAGCATTTACTGAGCTACTGAGAAGTTCTAGTACATTCGCTATCATATCTGTAAGATTTTGGTTTCTTAAAATGTGAAGTTATTGAAAGAACTGTAAGGAATGTGATCTGGAGAAATGCAAAGAAGTACTGAGTGAAGGTGAGTGGAGTATCAACATATGAAAAAAAAGTAAGAAACTGACTTAAAACAGAAATGTATTTTTTACTTCAAAGCCGATAAGATTGAATTTGATAAGATGAATTTACACATTAAGTCCTGAATAGGTTCAACAGAACCATGTGATTAAATAATAAAAAAAAGTTATTAAAGTAAAAAGCAGGCAGTATTAGAAAAATATGTCCTTTTTGGGAGGAAGAGTAGGAAAGACAGACAAAAAAATGGTAGATAAACACAACTAAAAATCATTTTACATATTAAGAAGTTGAGTGTTTTAGCTTGAAAAGGCTCATAAAATGTCTACAAAGGAGATAAATGCTTTCTCTTTAACTAGCAGCCAGATTGAAAGAGTCAGTGAGGACTGAATGACAAAGGATAAGAAACCACAGATTTATTAAAATCATTGTTTTCCATCTGATTTTGTTGGGTTAGAAGTTAAAATGAAATGTGCTAGGAACTGTACTTCTACATCTGACAGAGCTGAAATTTGGAAAGGCTTCATGTAGGAGTATATATCTGTGCAATAGTTAAGATATGCAAGAAGATATGCAAGAAATGCACTTTGCCTTTTGTACTCTTGAATTCACACTGACTACTTTTCAAAATATGTAGTTTAAATACTGTAGCTTAAAACTGTATTTAATTTGCTTTTCTCATTTTTTTTTTTTTTCCTCAAGGTCATTTAGATTCACAGACGTAGACATACTAGTTAAAAGTTAATTTACTTTTGTTGATTATTCAGCAGTGGAAGTCATATATTTCTCCCACTGGCATCATTACCATGAATTAATAGCACTGCTCACTGTTATTTTTATTGGAAAGAATGACTTTCAACTATTATGTCTCAGCTGGAGCAATCATACAATATCTTATGTTATCTTATTCATTCCACATATTAAAATAACTTGAGTGCTACCCTTAAGTGGATGAATATTGTAGGATATAATAAGAGAACATAATGAAACCTTGTTTGTTCAAACATCTCCCAATCTGGGTTTAATTAAACTCCTTTTTTTGTTTTTGTTGTTATTAATTCTAATCAAGTTTTGTGAATTGGTCTTAAAGAAAATCTGAAGAGAAGACACTTCTCTGTCCTAGAGGCTCAATTCTGCATTCATTGCTTATGACATTTCTGTAGTATTCTCCCAGTAATTTCAGTGTTTAGGGACAGAGGGACTGGGCCTTGGCAAGGAACGTATAAAGGCAAATCAATTTACCTTTCCTGAAAATCCAATAACAAGGACTAAGAATACAGTGCCTGTTGGAGCACGAACCAAGGCGTAGGGAAAGGCTGGCATCTCCCCAAGTGCTCATGGAGCTACCTGACCCTGACCACGTCTCACCCATAGTCCACTGCAACCAGTATGCATCAGACTGGCCCCCAGCTGGTGCCCATGGTGCGTACGAGTGGAGAGAAGCTGCCTGGCTACCTATGGCCATACCATCTGGTGTCAGGATAACAAAGCTTGTATCTGGCTTATTCTTGGCTTTCACTAATTGCTGTCTATATGATCAAGGAAAATTTTTTGGGAGGAAAACAGTGACACAAAGGAAGTCACGGCAGGCCATACATGTATTTGTGGCACTTAAGGGGTGGGCGGGTCTGATTTCTGTTCTCTGCATGGAACAGTATTTGCCCTATTGACCCCTTGTCCATCAGCTGTAATAGTTTCTGTCTGGCTGGCTCCTGTAGCAATGTATTCTCAGTTCTGTGCCTGTTGTAAGAATCACCATCACAAAAGACTGACAAATGAAATCATCAACCAGGAGGAAAGCAAAACAAGGAAGCTTTCCTTCTCAACAGAATAAAATCTAGCATTTGTTTTTCGCCTCACTGTTCGGCTCCTCTTTATATAAGGCAATCAGAAGTTTAAACAGGGAGGAAAATTGCTCACAAATCCAATAAAATTTGGAATCTGCAGCTACCAGCAATACCAGGGGATTTCCACCCAATATATTTGCCAACAAATCAATAACAAGAGTAAATCCTTCTACACTAAGGACAATCAAATTTTCACTAACAGGTACCATCACCTAAATGAATATAATCCCCTTAGTGCTCTGTATGTGTCAAAGTTAATACCAAAGGAAGCTTACGCTTTATATGTGATAAGCTAAAGGATATTTCTTAATAATGGTTTAAATAAAAGGAAATTATGGAGATTTTGAATTTAATGATTATGAACTGACTTTGCTCCACTGAAGCCTCTTCCTGAAATGCTGGGTTTTCTTATCCCAAAGAGAATACTAGTCCATCAGGACTTACTTATGCTAAGCCTGAAATGAATTCACAATACTTTTAATTTGGAGGCCATCCGAAAAAGACTTTTTTTTCTTTTGTCAGGATGTTTATTTGATGTTTACTTGTGACTAAAGGTTACTTATATGTTCTGCACAGGATCTTTAATATTCATCTGTTTCTTTTTTGACTCGTTTCTGACATTATTATCATTTGCAATTATCATGTAAAATATGGTTCACGAAACTTTCTGAGGTACCCTACTGTTCTTTGCCACCATCTATCCAAAGTGGTTTAATCTTTTATACTCATGAGTCCTGCCTCAGACTCTAAATATTCACCAGTTGGTGACTTAGATGAAGAGTGGAAAATCCATAGATGGAAAAGAAACCCACAAAACCACACACGCACGCACAAAAAAAAAAAGCAAACCAAGCACACGCACACACACACAAAAAACTCCGAACCAAAAACCCCTACCACAACAGAGTTTTTGTTCTGTAAGAAAAAAGAGAAAAATGCATCAGAGATCCTTTCTCTAGGTCCTGCTTATCTTCCAAGGGAATAGAGCTCATGAAAAGGTAGCAAAAAAACCCAAGATGCACTAAAATGCAAAGCAGCTGGCTGGGGAGCCTGGCTGCAGGACAGTTTGCCTAGTCTGGGGATCTGGAGCTGGAGAGGGGTTGCAGCAGCGTTTCCACTGAGCTTTCTTACTATGGAGGAGCTCCAAAGCTTCCTGAAGGGCTCAGGCCCTTGAGAGCATCTGTGGAGAAGAATGGCTAGACAGATTGCAGGACAGAAAGCAGATTTAAAGTAGAAAATCCAAAAAAACAACATAATTCCAGAGACGTTCTGAGAAAAGTGCCATATATCATTGTCAAAACACACCAGTGAAAGCCCTTGTAGGCAACCCTGATTTCCATAGTTCCCTCTGAAAGTAATGCTCCTATTTATTTCTAACAGATAGGAAGAATAAAATTTGATAGAGCAAATTCTCAGCTAAAAAACACTGGTTTTTCAACATCAGTCACAAGCGTTAGCTATGCATTTTTACCAGCAATGAACAAGAGCCTGCATGCTGTGCTCATGAAAATCAGCACCAGCAAAGAGGACCCACTGTTTCACAGGTGCTATGATGGCATAATTGCTAGGAAAACATAGCCTACACAGTCCATCTTTCATTGGCCCAAACAGATGGGATTCAGAAGGTGACACATCCAGACTACACTGTGGATGTGGTAGGACATTTCAGCCACAATCGGCAGCATGCTGCCAGTGTGCTGCATGGGTCTTCAAACTGGTATGGGGCCTGATGTTGTGTTGCAAGAGAAGGGTTGTCTTCTTCTCTGGCCTGACTCTGGAACTTCAAGCCTTCAGCTTAATCAGAATCGTGATCACAGCTGATGGCTTGTTCAAGTTCCAGAAAAACCAAGTAGATGGATCAGCTCTTTCCTATCCCAAAAAGTGCACTTCACTTTACCTACTGAGGCCTGCATCTTGTCAATAGGGAATTCACATGTAATCTCTCAATGGACTGCCATTTAGACTACAGTTCATAATGGTGACACCATCATCACCTTTAGCCTCATATTGGTTCAATAGGTCCTGACAGACTTGCATACAGTGTCTTTCTGTTCCTGTGTGAGCATTCACGGGACTCATCTGGTGCAAACTCAAAGTGCAAACTTTGGGATATCCCAATTTTGCCACCACTGTTTCCAATACATTGAAGCTGATACTCAGCTCTGTACACAATGTCCTGATTGTAATCTGCTGGTTTGTGTGGATGGGCTGGTCGAGACACTCTTCATTTTGTGATGTGACAGCTGTGCATGGCCACCTGGAATGTGGCTTGTCTTTTATATAGCTGTCATCACTGCTGAAGCACGCCACCCACTGCCTCACTGTGCTCAAATCCACTGTTTGGTCTCCATAAACGCTTAGCAAAAATTGATGACTGTCAGTGGGTGCTTTTTTTTCCAAATGGTGGAATTCAGAAACACACCTTTGCTTCATATGAACTTCCATGTCAGAGTGCCCCTCTGCTGCCATCTGTCATATGGCAACAAATTTTGATGAAATTGTGGTGGGAAGTTTCAACCTCTACTGCATCCCATCAAGATCTGTCTCTGACGTCATGGGTAAACGTAATCAAAGAGGAAGCATTACTTTCAGAGCATCCCTTATAGAATCTTCTTGTTTAAGGTGACAGTTGCTTTTTTTCTTTTCTGAATCAGGAAACATCTATTAACATAAGTATTCTAAGTACTGGGAACAGATAGTCTGGCCTTCTGATCTCCGGTTTAATGTCCAGATTTCTTTATCTTGTCTGTGGTAGACCATATTGTATCTTGAACTTAATAAAGGTTTTTAGAAAAAAAAATTATAATTGAGGAAAATAGTACTAGTAAACACCTCATTGCACCTCCTTTCTGATGCAACATGATAAAGCTACAATTTCTTTCCCTTTGCAATATTTTCCTGAAAACCCAAGTTATCCTGATCTTAATTCCTGCAACAGAACATCACAGGGAGGCCTTTTAGCACCACCCATAGTTGAATGTATGATTCATGCATTTTGGGAACACGTTGTTTGGGACAGGGTGACTTGTATACTCTGGGTTACTCTGCCTGAATTTAAGAGCGTAAAAGAGAATATTCAGAATTTTACAGAGGTGTGTGAAAAATTGGCAGTATGCTAGCTGATTTAATAAGCTAAGTGTAAGAAAGTAATGAAACATTGCAGTTTGACAGAAGAGAGAGCATTCTTTTTAACTAGGTGTTATTGTTATGATGGCAATGAGCAAAATCAGTATTCTGTAATTAGCAGAAGGAAATTTGAGATGCCAGTCCAACGAGTCACAAGTTCAAACAGTGGGCGTTTTAAATATATGTACAATATATAGCAATAACAAGGTGCCTTTCACAAAATGATTTGCACTCTAATAATGGCACTCTAAAATTTCTATAGGTTAGATACATTTACTGAGCAATGCATTAACAATCTGAAAGGTATTTCAGGAAGTCAGGAAAGGAGGTATGGAAAAGAACTGCTCCTCTGCAGTAACACCTTTCAAAGACAGAAAAAAGATGAATACCGGTAGCAGAAAACAGGACAAGTGAGCAGTTTAACATGTATATCAGTGAGGACATGGAGTTTGAGAGAGAAAATCTGCTATTTAATGAATAGAACCAAAAAAATGATCACACTGATTCTAAAAGTGTAATGTTGTGCAGGTCTCTAAATACCACAAGGAAGAGAATCAAAATGGTTAATTTAGCGGTGATGAAGACTTTGCATCTGATACCAATTCTCCTTAAAACGTACACTCATCAACATGCTTCACTTCAACACTGATTTATACCTCTGTTCATATCAAATGCCTAGATGATTAACAAAAGGCTAGTAAAGAATTGCATGAAAAACCTTAATGCAGGCCTATTAGCACTTCTCTATGAAGTGCATTGCAGCGTTCGAGCTAATTACTTCATGCAATTAACCAAAGAAATCTTTTGACTGTATTTTATGGCCTGGTCCTGCAAGAGTTATCTGTACTCCTGGCTTAAAATATATGAGCAGTCTCCTTTGCATCATTAGGATTCACATGCTTAAAATTAGACATGTGAGTAATTTTTTCTTCTTTGTAGGCTAGGGCTTTTGCAGAACTAATGAGACACCAGATGGCTGGATGGCACTGAACTTTAGAAGACGAATAAAGAGTAATCGTGGAAATTATCGTCTGATACATCACATTACAATCCCTAGGAAAATAATGGAAGTGAGCTTGCCTTTTTTTTTTTTTTTTTTTTTTTAGTAAGCAGCTGACAGGAGAAACGAGCAATAAACAGCAGCTAGTGAAATTATGATATGCACATATGCGCTGGAACACAGGGTGACTAGAGTGGGGGTTGAAAATTTGTAACAAAAAGCAATTTTGGATCATGCATGCAGCATTAGTAGACATCAGATACAATACCTAAGAAATCATACTTGAAAAATTAGTCTCAGATGGGTCTGAAATGAGCACTGTCTTGTGGATTTAAAATTGTCTGACAAGCTACAAATGAAGGGTAATGATAGATGGTGAGATATTGAGCTTAGGGGGAAAAAAGAAGCAATACAAATGTTTAAGCACCAGAACATTTTGACTGATGAGAAGCATTTATGAGAATTATGTAGTGTCTCTGAACATTGACCAGGGGTGGTATGCAATGACCACCATGCTGGGAGAACTTAGGAGAGTGGGCTGAGAGAATAATCTGGCATAAATATTAGAAACTAGAAATAATGAGTATTATTGCAAAAGAAAAAAGGCATGAAGGAGGGCAACCATTTTAAGTTAGGAATAGTCTCCTGGAATAAAACTTGCATAATCAGTGAGTGGTTTTACGCATTTTTGGATGTCAGGAAATAATATGGACATTTAAAGATGGGAATGGTGAGGCAGGAAGCTTAATTATATAGTATGAAATGGCCTGACTCTTATTCTGTAGCTCAGTCACTAGAATGAAAAAAAAACTGGTCACTTTCTGCATGTGTATCATTAAATTAATCTCTTTTCTAAAATTAGTTGTTCTTATATTACTGGTCATTACTACCAAGTGAGCAAGAAATTAACCTTTGTGCATTCCACTGGCCACGTATGCCCATGTGGCTATTATACCTTTTCTGTCCTGTAGAAATACCAGGCTGTCTGCACAGCAGAGGAGCCATCTGTAACAACTGCAGGATTTAACTCAGTAAAGCAGATGAAGGAAAGAGCAAGTATGAATTGATTAGCAATGTCATAATTTGGTAAGTACATCGACACTTCCATGCGTTTCTTAATCCACATGATACATAATTGCACTCCACACCCTCTGTCTTCTTCATATTATTGTGTTGCCAGCTTAAAAACACTAGTGCTTAAATAAGAAACTAGCATTATTAAAGCTCACATTTGCTGTATACTCCATTGATGTATACTGCTGTGTTTCAAATAAGTATAGTAAGATAACCTTGGTTATGATCTAGCAGGGCCTTCATAACCTAAGGACTTTTCCAAACATAGCAGGTAGCTGTGATTCAAGCCTACAAATGCTGTCAAGGTGATGGTATCTAAGAGTCACAACTACTTTTACAGTTTAAAAACTGCAGTAAAAACAAATCAATACACTGACTGAGGCTACTTCTCAGAAAGAAGAAAGAAAAAAATACAAAGGTGAAGATTTCACAAGGTAGATTAGTAACCACTACATGGCAGCCTATAGCTATTTTTTATCCTCAGCTGCACTTCCTGAATTCTGCTAGGTAATACTGCAGCATCCTTTATTGATTCAAACATTTTTCATTTCCATTATAATAATAGAAGTTTGTTCAGACTTAAAATAAGTACAATAGGATCACAGGTTATGCTTCCCACTGTAATACTAACTAGATGTTTTTCTTATCACATTTTAAAAAATAAATGACTCCAACTTTCAATCCATCACAAGAGTTACAAAAATACAACAGTGGGTTTGAAAAATTACTTGAACTAGTCAAAAATAAAAATTGGATAATATACCATAAAAGCTGGGCTTTTTATTTTATTTCTTTTTTTTTTTTTTCCCCCTACGTCACTACATGAGAATCTGTTATTATTACTAACTGGAATTTTAGCTTTAAGAAGGTACTAATGCTGCCAGAAGATTACTTTTTCAGTTTCTGAATCCAACCACAAAGAGACTAAATAACAAGCATATTTTAAAGCCTTCGAATTTTACTTGCTTCCAGAAAGATAGATATTTTACTGGAGAGAATGAAGATTTTATTTTCCGTCTATTCTTAAAATGTTCACAGTTACACTAGTTTTCAAACAGGGAATCTGACAGTTTTTCTGTCAAAATCTCTATAAAAATCAGCCGCTACTGAAAAGCTTTCATTCACTAATAATTTGTACAGACAATGCAAACTTCCAATGGCCTAAAGCAGATAAAGGGCTAGGCTCATGGAACTCACCCCAGTCTCCAAATATGTCTGGTTTTTACTCTGTCACTGTTATGCTACTTGACTGGGCACAAAATGGGCTAGAAGGTGATTTCTTACCAAAAGAACAACGTCTGCGGGGGAATTCTTCTCTCTTTGGGGTCATCAGTGCCACTGACACCTCCCATGAGTCTGCAGATGCCAGCCGAGGTTTTGGGATGGCTGTGCAAAACCTGCATATCAACCACAGATTTTCTTATGTGAGCAACACAATGCTACACAGAAAAGCAGGTGGTTTTTTTTCTTTTTTTTTTTTCCTTTTCTGCCAGCTGTGAGCTGTGGCTTCACCACATCCCACTAATGAAGTATTTTTTCCTCACAGTTTCATCCATCGTAACACATTGCTATTATGTGTTTTACATTCAGCCCTCCTATTCTTTTGTATTTGCTGTTCTGTTCCTTCTCCCTTTTTAATGAATTTCTTTCCGTCACTCAGTTAGAATCTACTATCTTGCATAAAGTCAGAGAAGTATACTTCAATAAATCACACACAGCTGCCCATATCGGATGCTTAAGTTGTGCGAGAAGCCTGTCTTCAAGCCTTCTGAATTTGAGAGAATTCTTTTTGGAAAGCTCCGTCCTATAATGCAAATCAATCACTGTTTTTTTTTTGGAGCTTCTCTGCTCTGGAGATTCTAGAGAAAGAGTCCTCTACTGATATTTACAGGGGCTATTTGAGACTGAGGTGGACAGAGTAGCCACCAGGGTGCCTTGCACCAGAAACCAGCAAGAGAGGCAGTAATGACCTGTTGGGGAAGCAGGAGGTGTACCACCATGCTGTGAAATATCCTGAGCACTTTCTTCATGAAGCATACCTTGAGGCAAGAATGAAGTTGCACATCATTTAAATATTGTTTCACGCTTTGTTTTGGGTTATCTAATCAGTTTATTTGATCTGTTCTAATCTGTATTTCTGAAAATTATCAAAATATAAAGAGTGCTGTGAAAAGACCATTCCAACCTTCCCACAAAAGGGCTATGTCTTGGAGGTTTTGGATTTGTTCACACACACATACACACACACACACACACCCCTTTTATCTCAGTAGGGGTTTGAAAAACCAACAACAAAAAAATGTTTCTGCTAACTAGCATCTGTCATTTTAAACAGGAATTGATAGCTTTGTTTTCTTACCTTTACAATTTGGCAGCCATTTTCAAGAAAGTAGTATGTGTTGATGTGGGACTCGGTAGCAGCTTGCAAATAGTCCTAGAGAAGAAAGGAAATTTAATTTCATATCCTTAGTGTAATAGGATGCTGAACAACACAAGGACAGTGAAACCTCCACTGCAGGCAACAACAAATCCCAAGTCCTTTACTTGCCAAAGCTTTTGTTTGCCCATTTCATTTTTCCTTTAAGCAAACAGTAGCTCTGCCATTGGAGTGATCTTTCATCTTTCTTTTTTCCTGCAGTACTGATGTTTGTTCCCAGGTATGATATGAATTGCCAAAATGCTGTCTCACAGGCTTGCTAACAAACTCTGTCGCTGCTCCTGTGCCAAGGAGTGCTCTGGCACAGGCACAGAACAGCCTGCAAACGGCTGCCTTGCTGCTGCATAGAACCTGCACTTCTGTTCAGCTCCAAAGTCTGTGAAATCTTAAGGCTGCTGAGATTATGTGACTTTTCAAGGTCGTACAAGAAGGGGCAATGCAGGTTTCCTTATTAATGAAATTTGGGAAACATAGGTAAGAGTCTGCTCCTACATAAACACTGTGGGTTTTTTGTTACAGAAGAAAGGGATTTTGATTTTCAAAACACCATTGCAACTTCTTTCATTGTAAAACATTGTCCAGAAGGAACTTTATTTCCTTGTACTGCCAGCCCCTGTTAAAAAGGAGAGCTTAAATATACACTAAGGGTGATCATAAATAGCCTACAAAATCTCTCTGCATATGAAAGTGATACGAATGACTCAGAGAAACATCAGTCAGATGGAAAAAAATTGGTTCAGATATCGGTATAGGCCTGCATGCAGGGCCTAAAATAGTTTTAATTTCCATGAAATATAAAATAGAAGTGTAGCCATGCACTTCATTTTCTCAGCAAGCTCTCAACGATAACAGCAATTCATAAGCCTCGTCACTTGGAGCTATACATACATAAATGAATTCCACTCACTCGAGAGCTACAAAACATTGTCAGAGACAAAAGCCACCTTCACCAGAAAACTTTTGTATTTCCTCCATCATTACAGAGAATGCATCTTTAAAAAACTGAGTTGTGAGCCTTTGCACAGAGCCACAAAATAACAGTTATACAGGGAAAGCAACTCTTCAGTGGGCAAAAAAAAAAAAAAAGATATTTTGATCCAAAAATTGTGCATTTTTTTCCTTGAAATGAGTGCATGAGCCACAAATGGCTCATGCCGTATTTATTTTCAATAAGTCATATTATTTCAATATGGCTTACTGAAATAAATATATTTTATCGAATGGCACAGCATAAAAATCTACATATCTTGTTGAAATATTCAGTGAGTCATTCCTGCCTAGCAAGTGCATTATTACATACTCTTGTTCTAAACACAAAGACAAACAACTGTAGAAATTTTTGCATACATCATTTCAAATCCATCAAGCACAGTACATGTTACAGCCTCCATTCAGCAGCATACATTTTTTCCTGTATCTGAATCAGCTCTTAGTTATACAAAAAAATATGGGATTATGTCTTTGTTGAAGTAGGAGGTGAATGAGTAACAGAAGAGAAAACAAACACAAACCCAACAAAAAATCCCAACTAGTCAGTCTGCAGATAAAACACAATCCTTTACTGTGCTTAAATAAAGAGCTGCAGAGAAATGGCCTGATTTGTGGAAGTGATGGAAAGAAAGGAAAATAAAGGAACTCATGAAATGATGTTCATTAAAAAAAAAAAACAAACAAAAAAAACCAACAAACAACAACCTGATTTTAAGCCTTTGCTTCACTGTCTAAGTGTTGGTCAGTTCATCTCATTAGCATTGTCTATCCACATAAGCAAGAGAAAGCAAGATTTTGAAGTGGGTGAAGATGACAGCTCTGTTCTATAATGTATTCAGCCAAGGTGCCCTTATTCATGTATTATACACATGGGCATTTTTAATATGCAGTTGCAGCTATTTAAAACCTTGCTAATGCTTCATGAAGGAAAAAAAAAAAAAAAAAGGATCAGTCTACTGAGATTTTCACAGATATGACATGTCATTTTTCCTCTCACTATTTTAAAACGAGTGGCATCTGTGCAAAAGCTGAACTCTTGTTACTGAAGAGTTAATGCATCTTTTCTCTGAGATGCCGGAGTGAAGCTCACTAACATCTCTTTGAGTTGTGATGATAGATGCTGGTTCCTGTTTTCAGAGAGAGAACTTCCAGGTTTCTGAAAATGGGGAAAAATGTCCTCAGCAGTGTGGTTGACAAGAATTGTGGCTTTTGTTTAATTAAAAAAAAAGAAAGAATTTTAAATTCTTCAGATTTGTATTAGTGATGTATTCACACTGTCTAAAATGAGCATCCAACTTGATGGTTGACTTACTCTTCTCTATTCTCTTTAGCCACAAAGGAGAATTGTTGTTTTGATTGTATTTCTTTTTTTTTTTTTTTTTTTATACCAAGAGTATTTAGACCTGGCCAGTTTGCTACTGTTGCAGTAAGAAGTGAATACAGATGCACTGCTTAATTTATGTGGAACACTTTCCAACCAACAGAAACTCACTTATTTTGTTTGGCAAGGTGATTAGAACATTCACAAGCACATATCAGCAAATTTCTAATCCATGTAAGATTATGTATGTCTTACCCCCTTTCAGGGTATTGCTAACATACAAAAATAAAAATAATGGGTAATATCAAAGGCATCAAACAACTGAAGAGTAACAGGATAATGTAAACTGAAATGGCTCTCACACAGACAAACAACCTCAGTTTTCACATGACAGAGCTCCAGCTCATCAGCATATGAATTGTGCTAGTATCTTAAAACCTTTGCCTCTATGATTAACTGTGGGTATTATAACAGCCACAAGAAATAAGATACCATGACCTGTCTTCAATTATAGGTCAGGTATTCACTGTTTGTTTAAAGAGCAGCAATCTCCTGGGTTTAGTGTCTTACTCATCTCCACTTGTCCCCTGCTAAAATGTCCCAAAGATAAATGCATTCAAGGATTGACATGGCTTTTACCCAGACCTTTCCTTTTAGGATGGTAATGTGAATTCAATACAGGTCACCAGAAAGGAGATGGAATTAACCTCTTAAACATATACTCTATAGCTGCTGGAAGGAGGGGATCATGGGTCTTTGTTCTGCCACTCATGTCACAAGTGACCAGTATCTGGTCATCTCGTCAAAAGGATCAGAAAGTGAATAAAAGGGTGACTGAGTATTTGTCATCTTAGGAAGAGTCATTGCTATATTAAAAAAAAAAAAAAATAGTAAGTCTTTTAACACTACAACTTGATGGCTGCCAAATAAATACCTGATGCATGCATATGTGAAATAACAGTTGGAGTAGGAGCATCTACTGCACAAGGGAATCTGCTGTGTAGATGAAAGCTGTAATAGCTTATAAGTAGCTTTCCTACTTTAGCACCCAGAAACAACTGTATGAATAGCTTAACTTATCTATTACCACTTTTATGTAATATGATATATCCAAGGCATTTCACTATCTGGTTTGCAAAACTTTTTGAAAGACTAAAATAAAATATAGTTTTTATGTTAACACTTGTACATGGTCCATCATTATTGTAGTTGCACTGCTACGTTCTATTGGCTTTTTATCACAGGCAGTGATGCCTGTGAAAGTTTTTTGCTCAGTAGTGTCAGGAGAGAATCATTTCCAGCAGCAGATGTGCATTTCCTTTCCTTGGATTAAGGCAATCTGAGGGAGCTATATTTTTGTTTATTAATAAAAATGTTGTACAGAATTAGGGGAATTTAATAGCACCTGACTGAACCTCTGCTGTAATGTAATATTGCAGATATCATGGTTACTATTCACACAATGAAGCTGATATTTAACTCATGGGCTTCACTATTTGAATCACCAAAGGGCAGAACTCACACGCTGGCAAACAAGTGATACTGCACTGAAATATACACCACAGCTCGGTCAGCTATGTCCTTGGGCCCATGAAAGAACTGTCAATCAAATACTATTAGATGTTTCTGATAACACCACTGAATGCAGAAGCTAAGTTCTGCTTTTATTTAGTGTAAACATGATAAGTAACAGAGCATGTTTTCAGTTTATATATTTCTTAATTTGAAGTTCAATTTTTCTTCCAGAGAAATGGCGTAGGACTATAAACAAGACATATGGTCAGTGTTTTTGTTTCTGTCACAGACATGACTTCTGTTAATTATCAGTATTCTTGGCAGGCTCAGCAAAGAAGTCCAGGAAGATATTTTCAAGAGTCATCAGATTTTCACGCTAAATGAATTTTAGACTGTAAGCAGCATTCATGGCTTGCCCAAAAAATCTGTGGTTTCCCTTTCCCTTCTACCACCACCGCAAAATGTACGTATTGTCTTTGCAATAAATGGCAAGGAGCACAGCTAAGTTAAAATCATAAATAGCACAGGTGGACATGACACAGGCTATGTGATAGTTACAACATGTAAGGGTGGTGGACCTGATTTCTGATTTTATCACTTCCTCTCGCATGTATTTGAAGAAGTAGTTGATCTGCACTTTTTGTGTCTCATCATGTATAATCTAGAGATAACTGTAAAACTCACACAAGATCCTTCAAAGCAACGTAACTACCTTAAAAAGCCTTTAGTTTTCTTCTCACTATACAGAATTTGATGCATTCTTAAAATAGCAGTCAGCAGCCACAGTTTCATTTTTCCAGGACAAAAGACCGACGCACACTGCATATGTACAGAACCTGCTTTTATTAATATGGTGTACTGTGAGCTATTCTGATGAAAGGCTTATCAATGCCCAGGGAAGCTGGGCCACATATGATCAAGCTGGAATGAGGGCTGGTTTAAAAGCCACAGTATTGCCTGTTCCTGTGTGAAAGACTCGTGAGAAGTTTGACCTCTGCTCTGAGAAGCATTCTGGAGAGAATAAGTCAAGACACAGCTTGCTCTACAACCACGATGATCGCTGTAACTACAACCTGCCAAGCTTGAACGTGTTAGTCTGCAGTAGAAATAGAAACACTGTCTTGTACAGAACATACAGTTCTTGTCATGATGGCAGGGATGAATCTGTATTTGCAGGCCATTATTACCAGGCTCAAAACAGAAGTCCCAGTTCAGCAAAACAAAGTGCTCTAAATTATTTTAACTCACACAAAACTCTGTTTAATCTTCAGAGTGACTTCTTTATTAAGAAATCAATCATCCATTCATCCGGCAAGTCAACTTCTTATGCTAACTGCAGGATTTTAAGACAAATGTGGGCATGCTTGATGGCCCACAACATCCTATGAAACGTCTCGTGAAGAAACAGCTACCCAACCATATAAAAGCTCTGGAGATTCCCTTCGTTCAGTCTTTTATCATAATATCCAAAACGCGGTAGGATCACAGTGCTGATATTGCTGCTTAACATACAAATTCATGTAGTCACTTTACACCTGTCTTCCCCTCTGTTTTGCTATTTATGTCCTGTTTCTTGCCTTCTACCCAGATTGCAAGTTTTCTAAAGCATTAACTAAATGAGAGCTAGACAGTGTCCATATCTCCTGGGTGCTATAGCATGTGAATAATAATTATGCTAATACTATCTATTCAAGAGAAAAAGCGGGACTGACAGTCAGAGACCAGTGTAGTCAGATGAGCGAATGTTATAATGATACCTTAAAATGACACTGATGTTCTGCCAGAGCAATGTAAGAGACATCAGAGGACTTTGGAAATTTAATGTTACTCTAGTGAGTAAGACCGAAAAGAAAAAGCAGAGAATAAGACCAAGAATTGGAAATTAGGAAGCATTTTGTTAGCTTTGCCATTTCAAGTAGACTACTGAGAAGAGGCAAAGGCAGGCATCACGAGTAAACCACAGGAATTCATGTAACACATCACCTCAGTTTTACTTCATCTGAATTGCAGAGAGAAATCAAAATACTTTAGTGAAGTTTCAGATCACTGGGATATGGGATTTTAAGTTACAGTGATATTAATGATACATTCCTGGGATGCATTATCTTTTAGTGTATCCTAAAATAACAACTATTTCCACTGACAGTAATCCTTGAGGAGAGAAGAGCTCATTGACAAGGTTCGAACTGATGAACTGTAATACAGGTTTGCATTTATTGTCCCTTTTTATCTAGATTTTGGAGATGCTACTACTGTGAAACTCCAACATAGACAAAA